ATATATATATATATATATAAATGTACTTATATTCGATCTGTTGAACCGATTAGCAATTATAAACAACGAATAAACAACGTGAAAAAAATAAAAAGAAAATTATAATAATTCAATCTATCAAAGTGGAAATGAAACCCATTCGAATACGTTATTTGCCGAAGCGAAAAGCATAAAAAACAAGTAAAAATAAAAATTAAAAACAAAAAAATGAGAATAAGAAACAAAATAGAATATGCATACGAGAAAAATGTTTTCAGTATCAAAACTGAAAAATGTTTTCAGTATTAAAAGTTACATGAAAAAACGTTCTCACAAATAAATGACATATAGAATTTGAAAAAAGAAATGGTCTACTTTCTGGATTTTTTTGCTTTTGTTTCCAACTTTGATTTTTCTTCCAATAGAGTATGTATTTGTGAATCGATACGTTTCATTTCTTCGATATAAATTTCTCCTATTTCTTTAGCACGAAGATTAATCTAAAATATTTCACTTTTATTACATATTTTGATTATATATTCGGCAATATTTAAAATAAAGTTTAATAGCATATTGAATTTGATTCTGCTCAATTCAAAATAAAATAAAAATGATCACAAATAATTTTATATTAATTTATTTTGATAAAAACTAAAATTTAAGAGTCATATGGAAAATATAGCAGTCAACTAGAAAACTTAGAACAATCTTTACCAACTCTTCTCGTCGTTTCATTTCTTCTTCTTTCTTGATAACACGAGCAGCAAATTCATCGCGCATCAATTTTTCTCGATAAGCCATCTCTTCTACAAATTCCCGCTGTTTCTAAAAATTTTCATCAGAATATCTTTAACGCTATAAAACCAAATTATATTAAAAACCATATTAAAAGTTTATTTAATGATTAATAATAATCAATAAAGGGGAAAAAAATGAATAAAGAATTGAGAATAATATTACTTTTGCAAAAGTTTCTAACATTTTTGGACCAGTTTCGCCATCACCAACTTTCATTGCCCGTAAACGTTCTCGACGGTAGGCCTCGTACAAAATTTTATGAGTTCGCTCACGCAAAGAATCCACATTAGTTCGTAATACAGCTTCTCGCAATTTGACAAAATCACAATGTTCTTCATTTTCAACTTGAAAAAAAGGGAAAGAAAAAGTTTTGAGCAAAAAGATTTGATTATATATTCTCTTAAACAAAGGGATTAAAATTAAAGGAAAATAAATAAGCAAATCAAAATTTTCAAAGATTGCAGCGCCAAAAAAAAATTTTAGTTATTTCACGAACCTTCAACAATTCCCCATGGATACTTGCGAGCTCGCACTGATTTCCCATTCTCTTTTTTCACAAAATCAGTACTTCCTACAACTGCGTATGGTAACAGTTTATTTAATTCAGTGTTAATAGCACGGACTGTTTCATCCTCGGTTGGAAATTGATAAATCGATATATTATGATTGCGTAATTCGCTTAAAATCTAAAAAGTTTCTAAATTTATTTCAATTTTAAACTATCAAAATACAAAAAAAATGCTTTCAACAAAAGAGATCACCTTTAAGAAAACAAAGGACAAATGAAATAAGAATTCTAAAGAAATAAGCTAAATTCTAAAATCCTCTTGAAAAAGCTTAGATATTAATAAAGGATAACCTTGCTTTTAAAGCGAATAAGTTCATCTTTGCAAGTAGTATCAGCTTTAGCTATCACTGGTATTACATTAACACGTTCAGCAAGCCGTTTTAATGTGACTATATCCAGCGCTTTCAAACTAAAAAAATATTTATAATTTACAAGTAAAAATTTTTTCACTTTTTACTTTTATTTTTTTACTTAATTTTTTTTTTTTAGAGCCGTCGTGAAATCACCATAAAAACGAAAGTCAGGATCTATATAGCTGTTCGCTCGATCTTGCTATATAGCTTTGAGACATGGCCAATGAGAGTGGAGGATATTAAGAAGCTATCTGCCTTTGACCACTCTTGTCTAAGGTAAATTTTACGGGTCCGTCGAGCGAATAAAATCTCACAAGATCGCATCCATCTTCGTTCAAATACCACTTGCATCGATAATGTTATCACAGAGCGTCGCCTTCGCTGATTAGTTCTCCGCTGTCCACCACAGAAGTTGACGCATATTTCGTTACTTGCTAAACCGTATGATGGGTGGCGTCAAAAACGAAGTGAGCCATTCAAGACCTGGACTGATACGGTCAGAAAAGATTTTGAACTTATAGGCGGACAAGCAATATACGGACTTAGAGTGACTTGCTGTCGACGATGGCATCAGAGAGCGCCGTTTGGGAGTGTCTTATCCTTGTAGCCATGGCAGCCAGTCTAACCAGTAATCGTGAAAGCTATTGGAAGAAGAAAGAAGTTAAAATTATTTATATAATGTTAAATTTCATCACATGATCTTCGCGTTTTTGAAACAACAATTTTATAGCATTTAACACACATTAACATTGTGTTAAATAAACAAATGGCTTAAAGAAGAATAGGATAAATATGTCTGTGCTCTAAAATTTTATTAATGTTTAATATCTGATGCATTAATGAAAGATGAAATTCGAAAAAATTTCATCATTTATTTATTATTTTATCAAAAAATTATAATGGACAAATAACATATCTTCAACCAATTAAAAATGCAGAAAGAAACTGATAGGGAAATAAATGGTAAAATTTTAAAAAATAAAAAATAATTTCAAAAAATAACAGAAAATAAGCAAAAAAGAAAGAAAATATATACAATATTAATTACCCATGTCCTGTAGGCGAAATAAAGTATAAGCAAGCGTGAATGCGTGTATCATCAAAATAGTCTAAACAGCGCCTAATTTTTAACTCTTCCATTAAATACTTTTCGAACTGCTGATTAATAAAATCCAAAATCACTTCAGCACTAAATTTCGATTTTATAAAAAATAAAAAGAATATAAATCAATATCAGTGAAAATTTAGATTCAAAGAACTATAAAGCAACAAGGTTCGCAAAAAATAAGTGGAAAACGTTTCTATTTACTTTTTTAATTACCCATGTCCTGTAGAATACCCATATTTTTTCTAAATTTATTTCTTATTTGTTTTTCATATTTTCTGATTTTGGACGAAAGAGGATTTATTTGAATATAAGATTTATATAAAAAATAAAAATTGAATGATATCCACATCAACCTTTTATCTTTATCAAGTTGGTCGCCAAATCCAGCTGTTTCTACGATCGTAAGTTTCAAATGAATGCTTCCTTCGACCACTTCTATAAAATAATTCGGTTAAAATGCTTCAAAACAAATAACTTTTTCGTTTATTCGTTTCATTTTTAATTATAACAAAATGCACACATTTAAATAATTTATTATATTATATTTTAAAAATTTGATAAATTTAAAAATTTTAAGTAAATAACCGTATGTTTTCGATAATAACTCCACAGTTTTCAATTCACTATTGCATGGTGGGAATTCAATTTTCATGTTGAATAATGATTCAATTAATGTCGTCTTACCCATACCAGTCTCTCCAACGCACATTAAATTGAATTGGAATCTGGAAAAATAATTATTGAAGAATTTATTAAGTAGAACATTTTTAACGCTAGATATTTTATTCGAAGAATTTTAAAAAATTATTTCGATATTGCCTATACCACCTCCGATTTCGAGGTATTGCGTAAGATATTTCGAAATTCAAATACCCCATGCATAACGAACTCAAAGCTTCTATACTCGTTATATTTGGGGTATGCAATAGATTTTACACTTTGCACAAATTGAATATTACATAATTAAAGCAAAAAAAAAACCCTCGTTTAGTTGATTTTCGAACAAGTTGATGAGGCAACGAGTCGAAGCCAACATGGCCATTCAGCTTCAAAGTTCGTATGTTTTCAGCTGAATCTGATATATCCGAACCGATTCCTAATAAATTTAAATGAAATGAAATGAAATATTTTAATTAAACTATATCATTAACAAAACCATTTATATTAAAAATTAATAATTTTTTAAAATACTCGATATCCCAAAAAAGTAAATGATTCTGAATGATCGACAGACTTAAAATTTCTAAAAAACTCAAATAAAGATCGTCAATTACCTCCATCAGTTTGTTGTTGAATTGTTGAATCTTGATGAGATTTGTTGCCAGATATGCAACAAAGTTTGGCTGCACCAGGATTTGAGGAAGATGATATCAGTGGTACTGAAGAAGAAATATCATCACTCAAATCCAATTTCTTTGTAACATCATCGGCACGCATGTTATTCATTTCATTCCCATTAAATAATTTTAAAGGAGATTTAAGATGATTTGGTACAGGCGGAGGTGGATTTGGAGGTGCCTGCAAGTAAATATGATTAATGTAAATATGATTAATTAAATATTGAAAAATATGATTCCAATTAAATTAGTTTTAATAATAATAGAAATGAATAAAAAAACTCTACTTGATGCTATCTGACCTACAATCTAATTCACCATCTAAACCATTAACTGATGTATCGTTTAAAATCTGATAACCTGATGTAAGAATTAAAAATAAAAACAACCCACCACGATAGGTTTACGCGTTTCCATACCTTCCGAATCTAAAACTGAATCTCGTTTATTATCATTCAGAATATTTTTAAAATTCGATAAATCTTGACTGATTGGTATATTTAAAAAGTCGGACGAATTATTATCCGAAAATTCAGCATCAATTCGCGGTTGAGCTGAAAATAATCTACTTTATCTAAATTTTTCATCTAAAACAATGTTTAATAACAATCTAAATTACTAAATAACGACTAAAAAATGTATAATCATATTTTTAATATTTCAAATTATTTCAAATTTTAACTTTTTTAAAATATAACCTTCAAAAATTGATAAAGCTTAACAAATAATGAATGACAAAAACAAAAAAATTCATTTCATTTATTCCAGTTTATTCCAGTTAACGAGGTTAGATTCGCTGACATTGAAAACAGTAAACCTTTCACCGAAAAATCCGGGCGGTGCTCTAACTAACTTCTTTTTTCATAAAATTTCAAATCGTCCCACCAGATTAAGAACGATAAGCGTTAACCGCCTTTTTTTATTTATCCCAATCAGTTAAAAATTTGATTAAAATAAAATAACTTAAATTAGATTAAAATGATTTTGATAATAAAAATGAACAAAAAATCTACGGAAATTAATTAAATTCAAAAAATGTTCTAAATTACAATTTGGGTATTGCAAATTTGCCTAAAACTTGGGTAAAATCTCGTTAATTAATTTGATTATAAACCTATTTACCAGACTTTTATTTTATTTTCATGCAACCAATTTAAAAGGAAAAATTTCGAAAAAAAGCGAAAATGACTAAAATAAAGAAAATAAGAAAAAGATGAAAATTATGAATAAAGATGTCATAATTAATGTCAAATGACAAAGGATGATTTACAATAGACAAATAGACTGCTACCCGCTCCCACTTCTAATATTTTTTAATAAATTAGTACCACGCAACCGACTTTCATCTCCCTTCCCTACCAGATGTTTGCAGGTTTTTAAAAATAGGCGCCAATTGTCTTAAAGCGAAATAAATTGGCCGACTGCCATAATCGAATGATTGAATAAATCATAAACGAGCTTTGAGCGCTGCAGGATATATATGACGGTCCGTGTGATGTGGTACCTCATATATCACCTCAGTTATTATTACCATAACATTGCTCTTTTTTTTCTAACGATGGTTCGTTTGGCTTGGCTCATTGGCTATATTAGCTACTAGGCCGGTAGGCTTCGCCATGTACTCATTCGTTGTGAACTCGTTGAAATGAAATGCCGATCAATTTCCAGCTACATTCAGAAACTGCTAGAAATTAAAATATCAACTGAATATGAGCCATATTTGCTGATAAATGGTCTCTGTACATGAAGGCGTAAAAGTACCTTCGCTGTATATTCTTCAAATTTCAAATCTCCACAGTGACCGGAAATGATCATTTTAATCTTATTTTTCGGTACAAATCTCCATTATCCCAACTATTTTTAGTACCATTCTTATGGTACTCACTATTTTGAATTTTAGAAAATATTACTGCTAAAATATCGCTAAAATACAGTTACAGCGAAGCGAGGATGAAAATAACAAGTAATTAGCAGTAATAATAATGGTAATTAATAGCAATAATAATAATTAATAACAAAAATAATAACGAACAAATAGTCGCTAATTATTTTACATTAAATTTTAATTTGTATAAATAAAGTAGTTAATAATGGAATAATGACACAGTTTACTGATGAGAATAGAAGAAAAAATCTTGAAAACGATTTTAAAAATATTTTATAAAACTTATAGCCACTTGGAAATGGATATATGCGAAAAAATTTAAGAGAAACGTGATAGTCGTGGCAATTGTTAAACATCAGACTGTGATTATTCTCGGATCATTCAACGAACGGTCAATGGTCTTTTCTCGAGTTTTTAAAAAGAAACTAATGAAAAATAAAAAAAGACTTGTTAGTGGATATTTGAAGTCGTTAGGAATCTGCTCTCGTGACTGAAATGAAGCAATCAGCGTTCTCACTTGTGATAAATTGTCATTCGCAATTTTTTGAAATTCCTCTCTCTGAAAACTATCTTTTATTTTCTTTTATTTGCTTATGATAACTGGCACTGATTAATAATTACACGGCATAGAATATTTTAAAATCCTTCATAGTTAAGGACAATGAACCTTATCGTTGAAAATTAGATCCGTGATGCTGGAAACCAACTTTTACTTCTATTCCAAACGGCTCTTTAACGCTCATTCTAATAAACAGTGGAGCCTAACCATAGAGAGAAGGAAATTGGCAAGGATATGGCATATCTATTGCAAATGAATCCTTCTGAATCTTTAAAGGCAATCTCGACATGGACATTGGCACTTGTCGGTATTTAAGAGATGTACAAATCAGACCAGAGCTGAATACGCTGATGATGCAGTTCTTTTTGCTGATAGTATGACGAAACGAAATACAAATGCTAAACAATATGTCGACAACTGCAGCGAAAATCGGACTCAGGATCAGTGTAAGAAAAGCAAAATGCTTTTCGTTTTTTCCACTTCATTGCCAGTTGAAAAGTGCCAAACTTCAAATATCTCAGATTTCCTCTAATTTCAAACGACCAAGCGAAAAATGAAATTATAAACTAAAATTGCCATATGGCTGCGAGAAATGGTCGGGTGGAAGATACTACAACGTTATCTTCTTTGATTACTCATGTCTAAGATAAAGGTCCGTCGAGCGGATAAAATCTCATATGATTCGCATTCATCCTTGTTCAAATACCACTTGATAATGAATGATTTCTTATCATATTTTTCATTGTTTCCTCACCCTCCAATAAATGGCTTGCTGGATGACATCTTAAAAAATAGAAGTAAAATTAGATTTCTCTTTTATTTCCGAGATGTAAGAACCAAACGTATAATATTTGACCATCGCTCATTTTTGAAGAGTCAGTTCCAGGTTTACTTATTTTATTGTGAATTATTACGAATATAAATTAAAACAAACCTTGTTTGAAATACTTTCCTCCGTTATGATTTCTTTTGAAAAGTTTATTGTAGGATTTGCTGATTTTGTTTTTCTATTTAATGCAAGCTGTAATATTTTAAAAACATTTTGTATTAATCAAAAAATCATTAAAGAAGTTTCTTCGAAATTTGCTATAGTTAATTATTGGGTTTCTGAAGTATATTTCCATATTTTTATTTCGTGGATAATATTTGGATAATATTCTAATATTGATGATAATGATTATTAATAATATGAAAGTGATTTTCGCGAAGTCTGGCCGATCAGTCGACGGAATTACCGTTTAAAAAATAAAATGGAATAAAAAATGAATAAACTGCCGAAAAAAGCTCACGAATTCCATTATTCATTATGTATAAATTTTTTTAATGAAATAAACAAAATAAAAGAGAAAAATAGTTTACTGGTGAGTGATAAGTGTTATCGGGAAAAGATGTTGGTCGTTGAAATTGAGAAACGATCATTAAAAAATAGAATTTTTTATTTGAAAAGTTGTAAATTTATCAACTGCGAATAAAGACGATTTGCCAAAATCCATCAGTGTAACGTTTTTTTTCTCGAAATTTCCCTTCATTTCTTCAAGGAAATAAAAACTCGTAACTTCAAGGCCCAAATGAATTAGGTCGAGATGGCGCGTCAAATAAAAGAGTGGAACTCGATCCAGCGAATTTCATCAGAGGTTAAATGGAAGAGACTTAACTGTGGTTGTTTATTGCTGATTTTTTTTTTCTATTTAATGCAAGCTGTACTGTTTTAAAAACATTTTATGTTAATACGTTAGTTACCGATTATATCTAAAAAATATCAAAAAATCACTACAGATATATTTATTTTTTCGAAATTTGCATGGGCTTATTTGGAAAATTTTTTTGTATTACTGGACTGCGAATGGAAGAAAAGATAAGATTTTCGTCAAAATTTCATTTTCGACCTCTTTAATAACATATACCCATCATTTCTCATTTAATTGCTTTCACTACTATGAGATCCTTTCGTGCAGAATCGTTGAAGAGCGATAGAAGTGCAGGCACGTCCACTTATCATACGATTCATACGATTCATTTCGCAAGAAGAAATTGAGCCAATCACGGTACTTCTTTCAATAAATTAGTTGACAAAATTAAGTTAAATAATTTATATTTAATGAATAAAGGATTTAAATGAACAATTAGCAGCAAAAGGTAGTATGAACAACCTTTCGGGGAAAATTAGAGTAAATATGCACCTCTGCCAATGGCATATAAAGATGATAAATGATACAATAAATCCACTTATATTTCGACTCTCATATAATTCTCATACAGCAAAAAAGCTCAAACTTAGCAGTTAATGGAGCCAACCAAATGAGTATACGCAGTGAACCTTAATACCACAGTTGTGGCGATCAATCATTCTCGCAAAAATTTAGGATGAAGTCAGCAATAAATAAATTTGCCGGTTCGACTGCTTTTTGTGCGGTAGTTAGTGTGATTTTAGATGCGTTTGTGAGTAAATATGAATAAATTATTGACAGGAATTTGATCTTTGTTGAACGGTGAAGAATAAATTAATGGTCTGTAATTTTCTTCGGGGCATCGAAATTTCCCCAGATTTTGTTGAGGAATAATGTAGTTAGGTAATGACATGTTATCGAGCGACAGACAGCCAATTCTTTTTTTAACATCAGTGCAGCCATTACTTTCTGCCCATTTGTTGCAATAAATATTAAATAAAACTGAATGAGGTTGAAGCATTTTTTTACTGATCCTACGATAAATCCCAGACCACCTGGTGGAATTGGCATCGTCGCTTTCAGCTTAGAAGTTTGTAAAG